CATCTGTATAAATAAAAATATGGATGCACAAAGTAAAGAGCTTTATAGTTTTGATTAGGTACGGATAATCAGGGAATATTATTTTAAGAATTGAACGAAGACTAGTCAAAAGTTTAATAATTGATTGGCTTGGTGCAAGCTCAGATATAAAAAAATCTCTGCTCAGCGTCCTTCCTTGTTGAATTAGGCAGCATTATAAGGGTTGTTAAGGTTTCTATAATTAACCGTGTTGAGCAGTATCGATACCAAAATTACTCGGAACTCGATTCTCAAAAGGATTGACAGCGCCCGATTTTTAAAAGTATCGATACTGAGTACTTCATAGAACACAGTACTCACAAAAGAATTCGAAAGTACTCAGTACTCAAAAAAAAGGAACTCGAAAGTACTCAGACCGTAAGAGAACTCGAAAGTACTCAGTACTCAAAAAAAGAACTCGAAAGTACTCAGAACTTAAAAGAAATCGAAAGTACTCAGTACTCACTCGAAAGTACGCAGAACTTAAAAGAACTCGAAAGTACTCAGTACTCAAAAATACTCTGTTCCAGTAATCGCTTTGATACATGTATTCAGGATCGATTCAAAGTACTCAGTATTAAGTGTCGAATAGACTTAAAAAGTACTGAGTTTTGTTTACATTTAACGGCATTCAGAAATCGTTGTACTCAATTTGCAGTTTCAATAATTTTCAAGTGCAGTACTTGTACCCAGTACAGTTAGCCATTAATTTGACGTAATTTTGGATTCATATATTAATTTAAATAAAATACTGCCAGCTTGTGAGATTTTTACACTAAGTACTGAAATGTTACCAACATGTGTATATTTATAGAAAGTACTCAGTATGCTGAAAAATACTCGATCCCTAAAAGTACTCGATACTTCCCAACACTAATAATTAAAGTTATTCCGTAGGAGCAAAGAAAATCATACGCGTAACTACAATATACTCATAAAAATGCCTACACATTAGGGTGGTAAAAAAAAAAAAAATTCAGTCGGAATTCTAATGCTCTCACCCCCTATAATTGTTGTGGTTGTTTTTAATCTAGAAATATTTAGTTGTCGCTCGTTTTTCATATATTTTATATGGGGGAAAAAAATTCCGTAGAAATGGTATACAGTTCTTAAAAAATTTACATTTTCCGATCGCAAAACTCTGTTTATCTTCAAGAGACTTTCAATAATAATACCCAATAGTTTAGCTAACCATGAAAATGCAGGAATAAACGAGTTTTACGATCGAAAAATGGAGATCTCGTATACAATTTCCACGAAAAATTTATTTTTTTCCCACATAAAATACATGGAAAACTTTGAGCGCTTTGCGCGACCTCTTAAAATTCCTTTATTTTGAAATAAAAAAAAACAGGTGTATATATTTTTCGATATAGCACAATCCTAGGGGTAAGAGCATTAAAATTTGGACTTTACTTTTTCTCGTGCCTTTTTGGACCACCCTATTACGCATATGTACATTAGTATATAAGTCAATAAGAGAAGTAAAAGTATTTTGTGTATGTATTTTAAGCGTAGTACAATAAAACTAAGCTCAATTGACAGCCCCTGTTCGCTGTTGCGCATACGCACTGTAATAACCCCATCCATTTAATATATATGTTCATACATATATGTTATACTCGTAGAAGGAGCAGACGAAGTATGTATGTATGTGTGCAATAAAAACCACAGCATACAAGTTTTCGAATTGGTAAGAGCTTTTCTTGTTTTATTCGATTTCTGTTTCATCACCCAAGTACCTAAGGTGAAGTGAAATGCAATTTCAGTTGATGCCAGCTTGCTGGATACTGTATTTGAGGCAGACGGTAAGAAAGTAGAAATCAGTAGGCTGCAAGTAGTAGAGTCTCAAAGTACACTCATAAGAAGAGTGAGTATTCGGAAATTTGGTATGCGGTCAATTATGCATTTAAGTTTTTAACCTTTTCAACGGCTAGGTGTCTTTCATTTGATATCAAATTTGTTTAATTTGGATAAGCGGTTTGTTTATTATTTGGAAAGGACTTATTTCAGCCCAAACAAATATTTGGCCAATTTCATGTGTCATTACTGGACCAAAAAAGTCCGGATTTTTCAGTTATTATTGTATTTTTTCCTAAAAGGTTCCAAAAATAAAAATAATACAGGATTCTTGGCCAGAAGGTCCTGCGATCAAAGGAACATCGATAACTTTCTTCTACGACAAAACTTTGCCCGGACTTTTATAACATCGAAAAAAATAACTGTTATTTTTGGTCCCTGGTTTTTCGTTATCGGAAGTTAGTGGGTCTAGTAACGCTGTGCTAGGAACCCGAAGCGAAATATAAATTCGAGTACGGTGTATCCAGTGAAGCTGAATATTTCTCCAGGTTAAATCTGGTCTGGCTGTAGAGATATAGTCATTTAATTGTATAGGGTTTAAGACATTGTTTTTCTCTTTAGAGAAAGTTTTTCAATAAGCTCTTATAAGTCGACTTTTAAGAATTTACTCGTAAAGCTCTTGTCATAAGGTCTTTGTATGTACATATCTATCATATAGTCTGTAAGCATCCTGTTTGTTGTTGATAAATAAATGATCTTCTAACCGCCATCCGAGCGCAGGTAAGAAGAAAGGTTTGCAAAGTAACGAAAGTAAAATACCCGACATTAATATTTCATCAAAATTTTTCGCTACACAAGGAAGCAGCATCAAGGCGAAAATAATGTTACAAAAACAAAAATTACAATAAAAAATAATTTACAAAAATCAGAAGAAATTCCTGCTTCGGTTAATACTTAGTAAGTGAAAAATTTATAATTTTTTGAAAATTTTTTTTAATGCAATAGATTATCATGAAATGTATCTATGACATTGAGAATTACCTCTCAAGAAATAAAAATAAAAGTATATAAAAAAATCAATCCTAATATAAATCTGAGAAAATGTCCGTACATTAAAAAAAAAAGAAACGCTATGAGCACAAAGCCAAAACGAGGCGCACCAAATCAGCAACAAACAGTGCACCCAATGCAAAAATATGCAACCAAAAAGCATAAACCAAAAATAAAACCACCCAAAAAAAAATATCGCCAAAAATATCGCTACAAATTTGGATGCCACCAGACTTTTCTGCACAAACAGGCAGTCAGTCAAGGCAACGATTGAACCAATCCACCCCACCAACTGCCAACTGCCAACTGCCACCTGCGCCCAAGTCCAACAAAGCAGTCATTCAACTTCGTGCTGATCTTACTCGTACGCCGCCGAGTGGACAGAGAAATTTTCCAAAACAAAAATCAAAACCGAAAACAAATAGAAACATTTTACAAAAAACAAAAAAAACAGTGCAGCAAACAGAGGGAAAAGTTGCATTGGAGGTTATGTTTCATGCGCACCAACTATAATTTGTGTTGTTGCTGTTGTTTTTGTTTGCCATTACGGTGGTGAGCTTTCAACTGTTTGCCCAGCCGACTGACTGCAGCCTGCAGACTGTAGACTGCAGATTGCCGCTGCTGCTTTCGCTGCGTACACTTCTTTGGCTGCTGCGAAGTGAAACTGCTTGCAAACTTGTCGTCCAACGACTTGCAGGCTGCAGCTCACAGCTCCAGCTCCAGCTCATTCACAGTCACGCTGCAACAAATAAATGCATACACTGATTTATACATACCATATGTATGTATGTATGTAGATATGTGTATGCGATTACCAGTTTGTAATTGTATTCGCGTTTCTGGCTACTTTTGAACTCGCAAGATAAATGACACTGCCGTCAGGTTAGTAATTTTCGTAGACTTTTCTTGAAAGTTGCAGCAAGTGTTGGGCGGCTTAAAGGCAGTATGGCTGACTGCCGGTGCTTTGGCTGTGTGGTTCATGCTTGGTGTGTAGTTGGTGGTCAACATTTCAGTATAACTGTAGCACCGTTTTGGCATTGCAGATCGTTTGGTGGAAATTAGCAGTCGTCGTGTCGATTGGCTTTCATTTCACGCTGCATGAATGATGAATGAGTTGCAATTCAGGGCTATATGCATACTTACAAATGTAATATTCTGATGCGTTTGCGTCAGTTGCGTTAGGAGGACTATACAGGACTTTGCATTAATAGAAATAAAAATATTTTGAACAAAGAACTGTTGTAGAATGAAGTTTTGATAAGAACTTTCAACGACTTACTTAGCTGGCGAAAATATTTTAGTAAAGGAAATTTGAGTCAAGGCTTGCAATTTTTTGGACCATAAATGCCACGTCGCCCGCGCAGGCTATCACATGACAATCCCTATTCTATAGGCCGTTTATCGAAAACGATCCAGGGCAGTGATGAGAGGGCGCCACCTTGTGGAGGGCACTCTAAGCTGCAAGCAGGCACTACCCCACTTAAACGGGACAGTTCTAGTGCCGAGAAAATTAAAAATTTGATGTTGAAGAAGACACCTACTGTGAGAATTTATAAACAATGGCTTCCTCTATACATCTAAAAAATTGTATGCATGGCGGCCATAAGATAACTTCCTTTACTACAAGCAAGTTGAGCTTTAGGTAGACGAACTCTTGGAATTCCCCTTCTTCTGCCAAGCTCCATCAGTCTCAGCAGCAACGAACATAGACTGATTGGCCTTTGGTACATGTTTAGGTAAAACGCGAGAGCTCTTCGCGACCTTTGAGATTAACGCCACCTTGTCGATCATCCAATCTCTGGGGATATACCCACTCCTAACTAACCTCCACTAAACTTCCACAACCTACTATAGTCTTGCAAATATTACGCTGTACCGTACTGGATGCTGGAATGGTTCCAAATAGGTTACGAATACCCAGCTGGGCGGAAAGGACAGTGCTGTCCTCGAGTTTCCAGCCACGTGTCTCAGATATTTTAATGCAGCAGGGCTAATTTCTACTCTTTCGCAGAAGCCTCTCCATAAAATTCCCTTCACCTTTCTTATTTTAGAAATGTAATAAGCACACACATATATATATACATATATGGGTTAATTAAGCGGGTTATATTGCTAGACGGGAGGGGGAGTCCTTAGGCAGGTTTCTCTATGTGCTGATTCAAGTAAATGAAATATTATATAAACGTACTAAAAGAACCACGTCCTACTTTACCTTTGATGGAGAGGTCTAAGCGATAACGACGGCTACGGGCAGAGTTACAGGATAAATATAATATTTATTAGAAATATACTTTTTATTACTTTTAGGAGCTGGTATAAAATTTGTGTACCTTTTAGAACAATAATCCAATTTTTTGTTAATTTTAATAACTCTTTCGTGGAATATTGGTGTAGTCTGAAGACGTTGTAACGTTTTCTTAGCGAACGTAACTTAAAAAAAATTCCTAAATTTTTTTTTTTTTTATTTCAGCACTTCTCGAAAATTTTATTGAATATTGAGTACTCCTAATTTCTGAATTACATATACCTTTCATTAAAAATTTCTTTAGGACATTTTAGTACACCTTTGAAATTTTAGTATTGCCAATGGGTACAATTGAGGACGGTTCCGTGCGCAGAAGTGGAAAACTTTTGACTGCCATTCA